ATACCAAGAAACTGAAAAGTAACAAGACCTGTGGCGACGATATGATTATAAATTATAAAACTATTTAGTAACGCTTCGAATACCAGATAATTAGTTGGCTTGGCCGTATAAACTCGTCAATGATTTATAATATAACTCATTGACGAGTTTATACGGCCAAGCCAACTAATTATCTGGTATTCGAAGCGTTACTAAATAGTTTTATAATTTATAATCATATCGTCGCCACAGGTCTTGTTACTTTTTAGTTTCTTGATAAAAATAAAAAAATGGCGTCAGGAGCTAGTCGAAACATTTTACCAGTGTAGAAATTTTTGTGTTTTTTAGGATTTCAACTGATAGATGTCACAGCAAACACGTATATTATGTTCCCAGATGTTATTTGAAATCAATTCATCAACAAAAACAATATTTATTGATGGCAAGTAGTAAGAAAAAGAAGAATAAAAGTAAACGAAAACGAAAACAAACAGGGTCGCCATTTTCAAACAAAAAGATAAAGATGGCTGACAAAAAAAACTCAAAGAACTCAAACCCACAGAACTCAAAGAGTAAAGAACAAAGCCCAGCTTGCTCCATACCTCAAACACCACAAACTAATCAGGAAACGAACCAGTCACCTTTAACCAGTAATGTTTATTCTGCTGCCCACCAAACATTGTATGGGACTTATCCCGGCTATCCGTTTACACCATTTCAGCCACCAGCCCCTCATACTACACCAGCTTATATGATGCAGAGTAATCATCAACAATTGCCTGCTATGCTGTCCACCATGCCACTATTAACACCATCACCATACCAATACACAAATCCAGATTTAAATAAATTTCTGAGTAAAGTGACAGAAAGACTGAAAAAATTAGATATGCTAGAAGACATATTACAAAAGGTTGTCTCCATGGAAACACACTGCAAGAAAATAGACTGTGAAGTTTCTAACACGAAAGAACAGGTAAAGACACATACTAACAATATCATTAACCTTGATCAAGGGCTAAGTGAAATGTCAAACAGAGTACAGGACATGGGTGAACAAAATTACATTCTATTTGAAGAAAACAGACAATTAAAAGAGAAAGCAATAGAGCAACAATCAAGATCTATGAGGGAAAACTTGATATTTAAAGGTGTCCCAGATGATTACAATCCAGATGAGGACACTGAAGCAATTCTGAAAGATTTTATTAAGAGTGAAATACAAATAGAAGAGGAAATAAACTTTCATGTTGTTCACAGACTTAAACCAAAAAAGGACAATAGTCCAAGGGGCATAGTGGCTAAATTTGAGCGACGAAAAGACAGGAATATGGTGTTAAGTGCTGCAATTCAAAAACTGAAAAACAAAAAAACAATTTGTTGTACATGAACAGTATCCCATTGAAATTATTGAGCGGAGAAGAGAACTAGTTCCCATACTGAAGGATGCCCGAACTAAAGGACACGAGGCAGTTCTAAAGGAAGACCGACTGTATATAGACAAAAAAACGCTTCTTTCCTATGACATCTAGTCAACATCCACCACCTCCCGTAGCAATGGATCATGGTAATGGTGAATAAGACAGATGTACAAGAGGACAGAGTATTGACACTGAGAACAAATACTCTCATAAAAACAATAAATGTGTAAATAATGATCTTAATTTATTTTTCTTAAATGTGTGTGGACTAAAATCTAAGTTGAAATTTAAAGAATTTACAGATAATATACAAAACTATGATATTTCAATATTTGTAGAAAGCAAACTTGATAATCTAGATGTGTTAGATGTTCCAAAAGATTATACATATGTAACAAAAAATAGAAAAAAAATGTGTAAAAAATCAGGTGGTATAGCAGTTATTTACAAGAAAAGTTTAGAAACGAGTTTAGCATTTATAACGAATAAAAGTCAATTTGTACAGTGGATGAAAGTATCAAAAAGCATTTTAATGCAAAGACAGGTATTTTGAGTGATTTTGTATTGGCTGATGAAACTCTTTTAGATCTTTTTCACTTAGACACTGACAACGAAATTATTTCATATATGTTAGATTATGAAAATCTTAATTCTTATAATATTCCATTACAAAGAGTGACACAGTGTAGTTGTCAACCTAATACTTATGGGTATAAATTACTTAATTGCTGTAAAAAATTGAATATGTATATTGCTAATTCCCGTATTGGTGTAGATAAAGGTGTTGGTAAAACTACTTGTAAAAATACAAGTGTAGTAGATTATTTACAGTTATCGTCAAAGCTTTTTACACTAGTCAAAAAATTTGAAATACAAGAGTTTGACCCATTGTTATCTGATGTGCACAGCGCAATACACATTACATTAAAGTCACAAAGTACGTCACATGAAAACAACTCTGTTACGTCAGACCATACATCAAAAACAAGGTGGCAAGATAACAAACGAAACCAGTTTGTTAATACAGTTCATAATAAAAAAGAACAGTTATCGGCAATACTAAACGACCTTCACAATTTACACTCGAGTGATCTTTGTACTCAACACGAAATTGACACTGTCGTTGATAACATTGGCGAAATACTCGTATCATCTGCGAGCGAAACATTTGTTAAAAATCCTTGCACTACAACACAAAGAACTAACAAGAAACCATGGTATACTAAAAAATGATACGATGCTAGAAAAAAATTTCACAAAGCAAGAAACAATACAATTTACACAAAAATGAAACAAATCATAAAAAATTACTTGACTTTAGCAAAAAATATAAGCAGATAACCAATAAAGCTTACAATGACTATCAGTTTAATCTTGAAAGCAAGATTAGAAATACGTCAAAAACCAATGGCAAGGAATTCTGGAAAATCTTGAATAACTTTAATGAAAAGGGCAACGATGATCCAAACATTATATCTATGGAATCTTTGTACAATTATTTTGAGGACTTAAATATGAATGATATCGATGAATGTAGTAATGATATAGATGTAAACCATATTGACATATCACCAGAATTAAATGAATTATTGAATGATCCTATAACTGTTAATGAAATAATAAATGTTGTAAAGAAGTTAAAAAATGGCAAATCTGCCGGACAAGACGGTATACTAAATGAATATATTAAAACTACATTAGATGATATGATGCCTATATATATTTTGCTATTTAATATCCTATTGGACACGGGTCTTATACCTGAGAGCTGGGGTATGGGAATTATGATTCCTATTTTCAAAAATAAAGGATCTAAATTAGATCCTAGTGCATACAGGGGTATAACTCTTAACTCCTGCCTTAGTAAAACATTTATTGCCGTATTAAATTGTAGATTAAACACATTATCAGAGGAAATTGAATTAATTTCTGAGGCCCAAGCAGGGTAATATATTCATTTTACATGCCCTTATATCATTATATTTTTCTGCTGGAAAAAAACTGTTTTGTTCGTTTGTAGATTTTAAAAGTGCTTTTGATACAGTCTGGCGAATGGGACTGTGGCAAAAATTACAGAAATCAAATATTCAGGGTAAAATTTTTAAAGTTATATATAATATGTATCAAAATATTAAAACATGTATAAGGAAAGGAGACGAAGTTTCAGCGTTTTTCAGTTGTGATGTAGGAGTAAAACAGGGAGAGAATTTGTCTCCTTTCCTCTTCTCTTTATTTTTAAATGACCTTGAAAGTTTCTTGTTAGACAACAATGTCGATTGTCTACAAAAGGTCTATGCAAAATGTGAAGAAGAATTGTCCTGTTTCCTTAAACTCCTAATTATCTTGTATGCAGACGATACTGTACTACTGTCTGAAACAGAAGAAGGTCTTCAACAGGCTTTGGTAACTTTTGAACAATATTGTAATTTATGGAAACTTCGTATTAATACAAACAAGACAAAAATTGTAATATTTAGTAAGAGAAAATTTAAACCAAAAATTGTATTTAACATTTATGGTGAAAATATTGATGTACAAGATTCATATTCATATCTTGGTGTTATGTTCAATTATAATGGTAGTTTTTGTACTGCAAAAAAGAAATTATTGGATCAGGCAAATAAAGCATTGTATGCCTTATTGCAGAAAACAAGAAATATGTTAATTCCATTAGATTTGCAATTAAAATTGTTTGATTCACTTATTACTCCAATTCTTGTCTACTCAAGTGAAGTATGGGGATTTGAAAATAAACAGGGTATAGAAAAAATACACTTGCAATTTTGTAAGAGAATTCTCAATTTAAGAAACAATACTCCTAGCTATATGGTATATGGAGAAATGGGACGTTCTCCAATGGAAGTTGTCATTAAATTGAGAATGGCTTTATTTTGGAACAACCTTTTATCCAGTAGTAACAAAATATCTAGTATTTTGTATAGACTTATGTTTAAACTTCACGAGAGTAACCAAGGCCATTTTAAATGGGTTGCTTATGTTAAATCTATTTTTGATGAAACAGGGCTTAGTTTTATATGGAATGATCAAATGCATATGGATAACATTGTTCTCAAGTCTATTCTAAAACAGAATTTGACTGATCAATTTATTCAAAACTGGTTTTCGCAAATAAATAATTAATCTAGGGGGAATTTTATGGACTTTTTAAACATGAATTTAAACTTGAACCGTATCTACTTAGATTGGCTCTATCCGATAGAATATATATGTGTAAATTGAGATGTTCAAATTTAAAATTTCCCATAGAGACAGGAAGATGGGCAAAGATCCCTAAACACAATAGAATATGTCATTTATGTAAAAATAACATTGGTAATGAATATCATTATATGTTTACTTGTACATATCCACAAATCGTGGATCTGCGCAAAAAATGTATTCCACCTTATTACAATACAAATCCATCAGAGATCAAGATGATTGGAATGCTGTCAAATTGCAATGTAAAGTTGTATTGTAATATTTGCAGATATATCAAAAACATTATCAAGTATTTATAATTATTCACTTATTAATACCAGAGACGTATAATACAAATTATTATTATATGTCTCTTTTAATACCTATGTAAATACTCACAAATTCATGACATTGTGTTAGTTAAATCCAAATGACAGATATACTTTAAACTGACTGTATTGTATACAAATGAAAGTGCCACGAGAATCACGTGATTGTTAAATGTGTGTTAGCTCCTGTTGTCGTACATGTAATGTTTTTCATAATTGTATTATAACTACTGTATAGATATTTCGTTTATTTATGTATTTATATATGTATATTGACCTCTTGTACACTGTTGTGTCTGAGGATAATAAAACTTTGAATCTTGAATCTTAATACAATTCATAATCTCGTCCTTTGTAATTGGACCATTAAGTGTACCATTTAATTCATTTAAAATATCTTGGTCTACATTTGGTAAAACTATAGGATCTGGGGGTGCCTGAATTTAGATCTCTGAAAAAGTTTAGAAAATTATCAAAATTTACGTCCGGTTGTTTCGTGTGTTCCCGCTTATTTAAAATATTCCAATACTCTTTTGAATTTTGAGATCTGAGGTTTTTTAATCTTTTAGCCATATCCCGTCTATGAGTTTTTATGGCTTTGTCCATAACTTTTTTATATTTCCTCTCAGAATCTTTAACTTTGTTATATAATAAAAGCGAAGGTGTTGATTTGAGCCTGCGCTTAAGCTTTGTAAAGTTTTGCCTCGCAAATTTGCAGTCATAATTAAACCATGGCTTGTCTCCCTTGTTTTTAAGGGCTCGCCTTTTCGGTTTATCAGTTCGCATTCCAAACGTTATCAGACTCTAAAACAACTATTCCAATCTCATTTACAAATGCGTTGACATTGTTATCATCAATAGTTTCTATAAATTTACATTTTTCAAATTACGCAACAACCTGTCTAATCTATCAACATTGATATTAGCTCTTAGAATATTGCAAAGTACTCTCGACCAATGAAATTGTAGGATTGGATGCATCTTAATTGTGAAGAAGAATGTAAATCATGTTCTTAGTAAGGGATTATCCTATTATTTGGGTCTATTTACAGTTCAAAACAAAGAGTTTCTATAAATGAGTTACAACTGCCCCGAAGCACATTTATCAGATTGAAAGGATTTATCACAGAGTGATTGAAACTGACTAAAAGTTGAATTGTGAAACAAACAAAAATCTCAAAATAAGTTGAAGTTTACTGGTGCAGTAAAATTAGTACCGTGAATGTTATTATGAAAATATTAATAACTTCAAATTATATAAAATTAAACAATACCAAAGCAATGCAAAAAAAAAGAAAAAAAATCTTTCAGATAAAAAATAACCTAAATCTTTAGCTTTCCAAAACTTTGATTACTTGATCAGCGGTTGGGGAGAATAGTTATTTCCAATACATGTATTCCGTTAAAAAAACAGGAATTTAGTTTTGAACATATTAAAAACTTTTAAGGGCATTATTTTTGAACATTTCCCTGACATAATGAAACAGTATTTGATGTAAAAAGCCGGACCAAATTATTGGCTGTGAAATAAAATTTAGTTGTAACTCAAATGTATTAATTGATTTAAACTGTAAATAAAAAAGGATAATTCCTCACTAAAATATAACATGATTTACATTCATACTCACAATCAGGAAACATACAATTCCTACCTTTTCTTTCTACTGTTGTGTCACCTAATATCTATAACGCTTTTTTTTTTTTAATATATCCCAAATGATAAGAAAGTCCTCACATCACTTAAACTAATCCATAAATGACATGCTGAAAAAGGAAGTCATGCATCAATTATAAACATTGCACTGACAATGACACTAATTCTTGAATAGATCATTTGAGCCTTGAGCACTTTACAATATTCTAAGTTTGTAAGAGAATGATAATCCCTTACTTCATGATAAGTACTCGCTAACGCTCGTACTTATTCATGAAGAAAGGGATTATCATTCTCTTACATATACTAAATTCAGGTGCCTTTTTATGATCCCATTTATTAATCTTTTGTCTTGACTGACCATTCGGACTGTCCTGTTCATTACAATCTTTAGAATATTGTAAAGTGCTCAAGGCTCAAATGATCTCTTGATTGGTTTTATTCAACAATTAGTTCCATTGTCAGTGCAGTGTTTATAATTAATGCATGACTTCCTTTTGAGGCCTTTTATTTATGAATTAGTTTCAGTGATGTTACAAGGACTTTCTTATAATTTTAGAAATTAAAATAAATTGTGTTTACGTAATAGTTATACACCGAGGGATAGGTGTGTCTGGATAAGAAACCCCGTCGACCGGAGGCCGGAGGGGTTTCTAATCCAGACACGCCGTATCCCGAGGTGTATAACTAACTTACACCCCATTCTAAACCCTATATTTGTTAACATTGATTATTAAATGAGAAAAAAACCGATAGCATGTTTATTGACAATATCAAGCCATGATTTATAAGAATTTTTTTTTTGATTACATGAAACCCCACTAGTAACCTTTCTTTGGTTATCTTCGTTCAGACTTTGACAAGTGAGTATATTTTACAAATGTCAAAGTTGTTTTGCATATTCCCGTTAAATCCTGTGCTAATATGGATCAGCAGGTCAAGGTTGACTGTTTCGTGTATTCTTATTACAAACAAAAAATACATCATGCTCCTTGTATGCAGTTGTTAATATGGACGAGTACAAGACGGACGACATTTTGTGGCAAGCGTTGGATTTGGTAGAAGAGACTTAAGATAAAGGCAATATCATAACCCAAATTACTTACCTGTATCAGTGTAATAAAGGTAATCATAACTGTATTTTATATCTTACGGTTTTATAACCCCCCCCCCCCTTCTTCTCGAGAATAAACAAACATTCATATTCGGACATGCTAAGGGATAGGTGTGACTCGACTATCAGACACGCTCAACATACAAAGGTACAGATTTAATATTTAGGAACTCCCTTTTTGGGGGCAAACAGGGGCTGATCCAGCTGGGGGTTCCCACCTCAAGAGAAAAAAGGGGGGAGGGGTCCAACCATTCAAATGCATTGATCTTTTAAATAAAAGTCGGTATTGTTACGAATAACAATGGACTTTGTTTGCGGGATGTAGAAGCAGGAGTTTCCAGAAACCCCGCTCGTCACACCCTGTGGTCAAAATCCTTTGTTATTCGTAACAATAGATCTATTCAATTTACATATGTTTCATAAATAGAAACTATGAAGTATAACAATAGAACTGGAGTGTAATACATTTGATGACACAACAGTACAATGAAATGGTAGGAATTGTATAAGTTGCCTAATTGTGAGTATGAATGTAAATCATGTAATATTTTAGTGAGGAATTCTCTTTTTGTTTATTTACTTACAGTTCAAATCAATAAATTCGAAATTTGAGTTACAACTAAGTTTTATTTCACAGCCAATATTTATTTGTCCAGCTCTTTACATCAAATACTACTCCATTAAGTCAGGGAAATGTTCAAATAAAATGCCCTTAAAATTTTAAATATATTCAAAAGTTAATATTAAACTCCTTTTTTTTATTTTTTACTTTATTGGAATATTGGAAATAACTATTCTTACAAACCGCGGATCGAGTAAACTGAGTTTTGGTAAGCGTTTTAGCTAAAGATTTAGGTTATATTTAATTTTAAAACTTTTTTTTCTTTTTTTTTGCATTGCTTTGATATTGTTTATTATTATTTTATTTATTTTTTGAAATTTGAAGGTATTAATATTCTCATAATAACATTAACGGTACCAATTGTACTGCACCAAAAACCTTCAACTATTTTGAATTTTAATGTTTGTTTCTAAATTCAACTTTTAGACAGTTTCAATTACAAATCCTTTCGAGGTAATACATGTGCTTCGGGGCTGTTGTAACTCATAACTCAGAAATTTTTTTGTTTTGAACTGCAAGTTGGCCTTACACCCAATTTACAATAACCTTGACAAATCTCACTACTAGCCTTGTTTGTAGTCTGCTCGACTGTCTTCTCTACGACTTGATTGGCTATTATTGTCCTTTGTATCCCGATGAATTCTTTAGAAAACTATTTAGTAACGCTTCGAATACCAGATAATTAGTTGGCTTGGCCGTATAAACTCGCCAATGAGTTGATAAGTCATTGTTATATTATAAATAGCCTCTAACTAAATTTTATTTTATCTAACTGGTTGGGGCATAGTAGTATACACCTTATGTCAGACTTATAAATAAGCAATGATATGAAGTTCCTTTTCCCTATTATACTTTCAATAGATCTCTGTACCATCGCCCTCCCCTAAAAAAAATTACATTTCACAAAAGAATCACATGTACAAATTTAATTGAATTGATTATAAGGATATGTATAATATACTAAGTACAGCAAGTACAGCAAGTCTTTTCACAAATAACCACATCCACGAAATATAGAAATAGACTTCGACGCTGTAACTTGTTCTAGGCCGTCACATTTAGCCATCTCAGTCAATTCACGTGCGTAATTCATATGACTATGCAAATAGTCTCATTACTTTAAAACATACTTCACATTTATTCAAGTCTGTGTGATATAGAGGTTGATATGATAAATCTTTATGACGGTGTTCCAAAATAAATATAAGGGTATTTTCGGCGAATCTACTGTGGTGAAAGCCACAGTTGTTCATGCCAACAGTGTCCGCGGGACGTAAGCAATATTTACCAAATCAATCTAATTCATGGAAAGCATTAGAAAAAAAGTCAACGAGATGAAATTCATTTGAAGGTCCACCTAAAATATTGAAATATTCAATTCCAAATGGCCCATGAAGGAGGTTTTCTGTGTGGGTGACATTGGAAGCATATTTGTGTACTTTCCCCTACTGTTGAATGTGCGTAAAGTCTATTTCTAGATGAAAACTCCATATCGATGAACGGAATATGTTAGTCCATTATGAACTTCTGTATACTAGTATCTTTATGCCAAGGTCATATATAAAATCATGTGAAATTAGCATATATAGTTTATTATCTACCCGTACAAGTCCGTCATTCGTCATTGTTGTCTTTTTTTACATAGTGCACTTAATGTAGTATCTTTCATGGATCAGAATAACCTTTGTCCTTTCGATTATGGTATACTAAAATATTTCAATTTGTTGCATTGTTTCTTTGAAAGACATATATAAAATAAGGAGAAGTGGTATGATTGCCAATGAGAAAACTAAGGGGACAACCAGTTGCTATTTTTAGGGG